TGGTGAGTTCTAAGGCTGGTTTGGAACCCTTCCCTTGAACATGAGCTTCAACTTAAGTAGTCGTTGATGTCAAATCCAAAACTGTAGAATCTGTTATAATTATAGACACAAGAGTTTGTCTCGTCTGCTACGANATAGTTTAAATTGAAATGGACAAATAAGATTTTTCTTTTCTCAATTCAAAAAAAAAACAAAACAAAAAAAAAAACAAATGTGTACCCTTCATCCCAATATTCCCGCAAAATATTCATTTATTTTTTATGGATTCTTCCGAGTTGTTTAAATTACATTTATCCCGTCAGATTTTGTGTCAAACCCATTAATTGTGTAAGGTTAATGACCATCTTGCCCTTCCATTTAAATAATGTGGTTTATATACATTGAAATTACCATGTTGCTCCCACCCTTGAAATTATATATCCGTCAATGGAGATTGAAATTCAGAAAACTAATTCATTGAGAAAGAACATTCACTTTATTTTAACTCAGCCCAACACAAGCTTGATCCTAGGAAGCTCTAGCTCTTCTCGTTAAAACACGCGCTTGCCCGAACAAGGTAATTATGCTTGTTTGTCGGTATATCCTCACCCTTCCTTATTTTGTCAGGTGGTTTCTTTTTCTTTTTATTTATATGTACATAGGGAATAATGTGTCACCACTATAAACAGAGTTAAAAAGTATTTCAAAAATGACGAAACGACGTCTAATAGGGCATAATAGAACTTTTAAGGGGAGATGTAGGAAAATATTGTTTATGTTTGGTGAAGATTGATAGCTTGTATTCGAGCATAACTCAAGTTGTAATATGAACAAGTTGTAAATTCAGATATTTTAAATTTGAATCTTGACAACTCCTTGGGATCAGAAATATTTTAGTTCCGGAATAAATGACTTGTCTTTGACCAAACCAGAGGAGAATTAGTCAAGGTGCTCATAAGCTAATCCAACCACTCAACCCGTTAAAAAAAAAAAAAACAAGAAGAAGAAGAAGATTGATACCTTTGTTGGACTAGTTGAAAGAATTTTTATATTATAGAAGCAAGAATGACGAACTATGTTAGATTGTTGGTTTTCCACCAGATTCTTTTGAGAGATTGAGAGAGAGAGAGAGTTTGAAAAGAATAAAAAGCTGAACGTCAGAACCAAGTCCAGTTCTTGCAACTTGGCTTGTCTTTGTTGCAACTTTTTACGTTGGCTTTTTGCTAGCACTTGCCTACTTGGTTGTTGACAAATCTAACATACAAATCCTTGTTTAATTTTGCCAGTGACAAAGACATTTCCGTCTACGACCAAAATTTCCCAAGTGTTATAGAAATGGGTAATTTAACCCCCAACAACATTTTAACCCATTCTTGTTCAAATGTCCACTAAAATTACCCAAATAGGTTACTTTCCGCAAGAAACTCCACTACCCACTCTCCTAGAGAATGGTCGTTCCACGGAAGGAGAGGAAGAGAGCAACCATTGTGTTTGTGTGCGCGTGATGCGTACAAATGCAAAGCAACTCCTTGGGATATATACAATAAGAAACTGGGGTTTGTGCGTATTTATGTGTTGGTGAGTGTTATAGTGGTTAGTAGTTAGTAAGTGATTGAAATAACGATAATTTCAATTATTTCTTTGACAAATGATATATATATATATATATATATAAGTATAATTATTTGAAAAATTAAGTCTTTGAATTAAAATATGAAAAAAGGGAAAAAAATTTAATCTCTTCTTTCCAAAAATGAAAATTGTAATTTCACGTGGTTTGTGAGTCCCAGCTCAAGAGACGAAAAATCCTTTGGGGGCATTTTAGTGATTTTGTANTATATATATAAGTATAATTATTTGAAAAATTAAGTCTTTGAATTAAAATATGAAAAAAGGGAAAAAAATTTAATCTCTTCTTTCCAAAAATGAAAATTGCAATTTCACGTGGTTTGTGAGTCCCAGCTCAAGAGACGAAAAATCCTTTGGGGGCATTTTAGTGATTTTGTAAATCAAAAATCATCAACATCGGAGTNTATATATATAAGTATAATTATTTGAAAAATTAAGTCTTTGAATTAAAATATGAAAAAAGGGAAAAAAATTTAATCTCTTCTTTCCAAAAATGAAAATTGTAATTTCACGTGGTTTGTGAGTCCCAGCTCAAGAGACGAAAAATCCTTTGGGGGCATTTTAGTAATTTTGTAAGTCAAAAATCATCAACATCGGAGTTCCCAAAAAAAAAAGATGTTTCCCACTAAACCTTGTCCAATGATGGCGCAATTGCGCGTTTCATATCATATTAATTGGCGATTAAACCCAACAAAAACCTAAGCTCCCACATAATCCTTAGGGATAAAACCTAGGTGCATTTGTGTAATTGAACTTCCTCGACCTTACAGATTTGGTCCTACCTATGGCTGCCTCATCATTTAGTCAAAAGAACCAAATAGCTTTTGCAACACGGTCTACAATCTCAGTCAACTCCCAAAAAAAAAATTCATTTGACTTTCAAATAATATATGATTTTAGTTGTAAAAATTAATTTTTTAAAAATAAAATTGTGTATCGCTTATCTCTCGTAAACTTCATTATAAACACGGGTATTGTGAAATTAAATTATGTAGTCTATAACTTTTGAGTTTAAAAAAACTGATTTAGGAATATTTCGATTTAATTTATTCAAAAATTTAAACCAACTTACAGTTTAATTTTACTATATTGTGTGAACAGGCAATCCCAATGGATCGGATTTTTGATCTGATCCCTGATCCAAATTCTAGTGTGATAGTCGAATATAGATTAGTATNCCACATAATCCTTAGGGATAAAACCTAGGTGCATTTGTGTAATTGAACTTCCTCGACCTTACAGATTTGGTCCTACCTATGGCTGCCTCATCATTTAGTCAAAAGAACCAAATAGCTTTTGCAACACGGTCTACAATCTCAGTCAACTCCCAAAAAAAAAAATTCATTTGACTTTCAAATAATATATGATTTTAGTTGTAAAAATTAATTTTTTTAAAATAAAATTGTATATCGCTTATCTCTCGTAAACTTCATTATAAACACGGGTATTGTGAAATTAAATTATGTTGTCTATAACTTTTGAGTTTAAAAAAACTGATTCAGGAATATTTCGATTTAATTTATTCAAAAATTTAAACCAACTTACAGTTTAATTTTACTATATTGTGTGAACAGGCAATCCCAATGGATCGGATTTTTGATCTGATCCCTGATCCAAATTCTAGTGTGATAGTCGAATATAGATTAGTATTTTTGACTGATCATACAACTCCATTATATCGTATTAAAAGAATCAAATTTAGATATATCAATTTTTTTAATTCAAGTGTGATCCGGTCCGAGTTTTATAAATAGTCAATAATTTTTTGATGCAAGTGAGTCGAGATTCAAACTAATTCATCAAAATTTTGCTTTGAATAAGTTATTTACATTGGGTGAGATAATCGTTTTTTTTTTATATTCAAGATGTTCAAATATAGATTAGATTGTGAAATAAAATTCGTTAAATAATTAGTTTAGTTTTTTTTGGCAAATCCTATTTGAATAAGAAAAATCTAAATCCACATTTAAAATGTTGGAATTGTCTTATATTCAACTATTCTTAAGGTATCATGCATGTTCATTCTGACTTAAAACAGGGAGTTTCAAACTCCATTCTAAGTAATGCTTCTTGATAACAATGGGAGATAGGTCCACACGCATTCCCTGCTTTTTCTTTTTCCAGGTTGTTCGAGTCGGTTTATACATACTTCAACTAATATTCTATTTAGTTCGGTCAAAAATAAGTCATCTAAATCGGAATTAAGATATTCATGAAAGATAAATCTTTTATGGTCTAACTCTGAACGATTATCAAATTTTGAATTCAATATATCTAAATTTACACTTCGATCATATTATCACTTCAACTATCCTTTAAGATTTACTCTAATATTATTGATTGCAAATTTTTTTAANTGCATGTTCATTCTGACTTAAAACAGGGAGTTTCAAACTCCATTCTAAGTAATGCTTCTTGATAACAATGGGAGATAGGTCCACACGCATTCCCTGCTTTTTCTTTTTCCAGGTTGTTCGGGTCGGTTTATACATACTTCAACTAATATTTTATTTAGTCCGGTCAAAAATAAGTCATCTAAATCGGGATTAAGATATTCATGAAGGATAAATCTTTTATGATCTAACTCTAAACAATTATTAAATTTTGAATTCAATATATCTAAATTTACACTTCGATCATATTATCACTTCAACTATCCTTTAAGATTTACTGTAATATTATTGATTGCAAATTTTTTTAAGTATTTAACAACAAAAAAAATCATTACATTTTGGATATAAAAGACTTTATTAGGTGCTACTTTAGAGTGAGAAAGAGACCAAAAAAAAAACTTTGGAGTGAGAAAATAAAAGTAACGGTAGAATGAATTGGCGAAAGACCATACCCGAACTTATGAAAATTTATACATTTTTAAAAAATGTATAAATATATACACACTTATTCCTCGTACAAAGACGTTGTGTGATTATTAGGTTTCTTATTTTAGATTACATACAAAATTCCTTTTTTTTTTCAAAACACTTTTGTATTAATCCATATTAATACTGTTCGTTAAAAAAGGTGATTTAGGACGCCAAGAACAATTATTTTTGGAATTTAAATTCTTGGTACGAAGGTTATGAGTAATCTTACCGCTAGAAAATAATTTACAATTAACAAATAATTTTGAGACGATATTTGACATAAAACTACCCTAATTTTAACTCTACACTTCAAATTTGAAATAAAAAAATAAAGTACATTATTATAAAATTTATTGCATTGTAGGTATAATGTGGAAACATTAATTATTGAGGGTATAAATTAAAATTTTTGAAATCTTTTGAGGTGCAAATGTAATTCGGCCAAAGATGAAAAAAAAAGAAAAAGAAAAAAAAAAGGAGAATCACTTTCATGCAGATAGAGCAAGCCTAACATTCAGTTGACTCCTACCCCGAATAAGGAATAAAAATTCTCCACCAAACTCCGCAACACCTCTCTCTCTCTCTCTCTTTCCATCGTTTTCTCTTCATAGCTCTCCTCCTCCTTCCCTCAATCTCCAAAATTAATCGATCTCCGAAGACAAAAACCCATTTCCAACCACCATTAGCCGCATTAAAGATAAAACTCCAACCCCAATTGCCCAATCAAGAAAACCCCCAACATTTGTTATTCCTATCACGCCGGAATTTTCGGGCGAGGAACTCGCCGGAATAAGGCCCGAACTGAAACATGGTTGATTAGATAACAGAGGCATATACACATAGAGGGTCTGAGAGAGAAACAGAGAGATGTATAAGAACCAGCTTCAAGAGCTGGCGCAGAGGAGCTGCTTCAACCTGCCGTCATACACTTGCATAAGGGAAGGTCCGGACCACGCGCCGAGGTTCAAAGCCATTGTCAATTTCAACGGCGAGACCTTTGAGAGCCCCAACTATTGCTCCACTCTCCGGCAAGCTGAGCACGCTGCGGCCGAGGTGGCTCTCAATTCTCTCTCCAGCCGCGGACCTTCTCACTCTCTCGCCGCCAGAATTCTCGTAAGTAGCATTACTGTTTTCTCTTTCTTCTCGATGCGATTAGGGTTCCGTTGTTTTTTTGCTTGTCTCCGTTTGAGTCTCACGGCCATCGATCTTCTTTTTTTACTGGTCACTCATAAAATTGACAGGCAAATTGAGCTAATAAACTGCGAACTTTGCTAATGTACGCCTTGTGTTATTTGAGCTCTCTTACTCTCTGGTTTCCCCAGGGGAAAGAGAGAAGAGGGGGGAGGAGAGAGAGAGTCTTAGAAGGGGCAAACTTTTCTAATGTGCACCATGTGCTACTTGCGCTCCTCTAACTTTTTTGTTTCTGGTGAGAATGGTTGCTATCTATTTGAGTGACCAAGTGCTAACGTGCGCGTGAAAGGCAGAGTATCATTGTTTCCGGTGAATCACTGAATCTCTTAGCCGGACGATTACCGGTTCGGAAATGACTGGGACGGGTATGCCTGGTTTGACTTTGAAATGACTAAAATACCCCTCATCTGTTTTTTCGGCTGTGGGATTTTTTGACCAGCTGACCAATTGTAGCTTAATTGAGGGGTTGGGGCGGAGGGCAGAGTGGGAAAAGAAAACTGGTAAGTGTTGAAGATGGACCATATTTTTAATAAGAACCATATGGTCTTCTTTGTCTTCATGTATCTACGACAGCTGTTTTGGGTCTTCTGGCTTTTTAATGTAACCAATTCCTTAAATGAGGGGTGTTTCTGTCATATGAAAGTTTTGTGGTTTCTAATGCCTAGATTAAATTGTCTGGACCTTGTATTCTTCATGGTAGTGTGAATTAAGAAGCTACCTCTCTTGAATAATTGATAGTATAATTGTGGGTGAAACATTTCAAAGCACTATTATATTTTTATTTTGTTTCTTTTTATCGGTTTCGAAGTGTTATTTGAAGTTATATAAAATATAAATCAATCAATTTGAACAGCTGGTTTGGATTAATGAATGTTTGTTGAACTGATATGATTAAGACCAAAATTGCTGACTTTGGTATTTCTTTATTTGTACTCGCAGTATATATAAACAACAAGAGTGTGTATGAATACGTTGAAATCGTGGACATTGGTACCAAACTTACAAAAGTATAGTATTGATTTCAAAATGGGCTAGTTTCAGTGTAGCACATGTGAGAAAAATATCTGAGCAAGCTTAGAATTTATGGCCTTGTACCCCCATCAATTAAATATGCTGAATCATCTAGCTGCAGTATGCATGTGCCTGTCCACTTCTTCGGGTAATTCACCAACTGGTGCCATTAATGTAACCTAGGGCATAGTTCTTTGGTTGATTTGAAGTATGCCACAAATGACAATATTGTCTTGTGTTATTGTGCATTCTTGCCTCTTTTGAAGTATAAACTAAAAAGTATTAGAGGATCAGTGGTGGGCCCAGTGGCCACCGCCCAGCAGTTGTTTGCAGGTTTGACTTTGAACCTCATTGCTGCCTCCCCATTGTAATACTGACTGCAAAAAAAAAAAGTAAAATGTAATAATAATTACCCCAAAAATTGAAGGAGAACAGGTATGAGCTAATGGTGTTTCTTTATTTGGAGTTTCTAGTGTCAATGCTTGAAATGGAGAAAAGCCTTGACATTGTTCAGATAGATGTTTAATGTCATGCTTGATTGTGATGCATGATGCAGTATGGCAACGGCAAAGTCTACACAGTTTGCTTTGTGAATGCACCACCTAAACTTCAATCGCTTGCATCCATTTTGTGTTCTTATTACAATCTAGAGGGGAAAATCGTAGGTTCTTTTCTTTCTCCTTTTTCCGGCCCTGAGACATTTTGTCAAAATTTCACTTTCTATATCTCAGGTTAAGAGAACATTTCTATGACTGTTCAGCTGTTTGCCTCTACTTTTCATCAAGTTCAAGATATATAATTATAATACGTTGGACAGCCCAAGTGATTGTGCAACATTCTGCATTTTGATTAACATTTGCTGAAAGTTTTAGGAGTCGGAAAGAGTAATAATATACCTCCATTTGGTGTTTTATATAGATAAAATCTGCAATATCATATTGTATCACAGAAAATCTGGGCACTATATTAGCAGTTTGTTTATTTCTTGAACATGGCATGGGAAGGCATCCTTCTTTTTTCTCTTGGAAACAGTCTGGACGTGCCAGATCCCACTGCTAGTTCATTATAGATTTTGTTTAGAGATATTATGATTTCAATGGTTTGTAAATCTATCTCATTTTTACTAGAGCTTGTCTCACATTGGAGTTAATAGAGTAAAAATCAAAAGATAAAGCCAAAATAGGAATCTACGTGTGTGCATGCCTGTGCGGTGTTACATGTATATTGCCTTTATGCAGTTTGTGAAAACTAGGATCCCATTTGAATTGTACTTGTTCAATACTATTAATATTAACTGTTGTTTGACGTTGCTTGGGCTCCACTATGATTAGGATGAGACTGGAGTTTACAAAAACCTCTTACAAGAGATTTCACAAAGAGTTGGTTCCCCATTGCCTCGTTACACAACTTTCAGATTAGGTGTTGGACACCTACCTGTCTTCACTGGAGTAGTAGAACTGGCTGGAATCACTTTCACTGGGGAACCAGCCAAGAACAAAAAGCAAGCTGAGAAAAATGCAGCCCTGGCAGCTTGGTCATCTCTGAAACAAAGTAAGTCTCTCTCTCTCTCTCTCTCTCTCTCTCTCTCTCTCTCTCTCTCTCATGCTTCTTTATAGGAGTAATATTAGTTTATTGTGAGGAGTGTTTGCAAGGTTACAATGTTCTATGTGCATTCTTTGATTAGACCGTGAATGCTTGACCAAGAAAGGTAGCGTAGAAGCCCATAATAAGGGTTATTCCCCCCCCCCCTCTCTCACTGTCTTTGACCTACCTTAACTTCATACCTAGATGTCGCATTGGCATGGGTGGTATAAGCTTTTCTGTGTGTTTGTATTTGTGTCGATATGTCCGCCTGGGTGACAAGAATCTTTTGACCTGGTGATACCTAGGGTAAACTGTAAAAGTACTTTTGTAATTACATACTATGTGGAATCAGGTTCCTGCTAACCTTGGAAGAGGATACAAAAATGGTCCTCAAACAGTTTGAGGTGCTTCGTTGAGTTTTATGTTGGTGTTAGGCTATAAGCATAATATATTTGAGGTTCTTCTGTTCTGACATAAATAAGAACTTCATCTCCTGCCCTCCAAATTCTATTTTTCGTAGGATGAATGGTTAAAAAAGTGGACTGCCATTAGATTGGCTTGTTGCACCAAAGTCATCACTCCTTGTTGAACCTGCTGTTCTGGTTGTTTCAATTTGGTTTATGGCTATGGCATGTCAGATTCTTCTGTCCCATCCTGTGTGGAAGTGAATACCAGTTAGTTGAATTATTCTGTCCCATTCTTCTGTTCCTCTATATACGGATGAATTCCTTTTTAACGGACTTAGACTTGCATTATGGGAGAAAGAATGTTACATGGGAGGTGGTAGGTTAGATAAAGCCCTGTCTCTCATCTCTTCTTTGATCTTCCTGGTGGCTCTCTGATTTAAATTGCTTATTTTTGATTTCACATCAATGCATCTTTATTTGATGTCTGGGGACTACTACTTTGATATAAACTAGTTTTTTTCCCTTTCTGGCCAGTGGCACAAAAAGATGCTAGTGCATCATCAGAATCAGAGAACAACGATGAGCAGGAACAGATCAGAATAGCACGTGCTTTGTTGAATTATTGTTTGAAAGAAAAGATTAGAATGAGTAACTCAGCCGATGCCCCAGTACCATTTCAACTAAAATTTCCAACTCCGCACCCAAGACCAACTAGTCCACAACCTTCATCAGTGGCCATGTCCAAGATCCTCCCCTTAATCTGCCAGAAGACTGGTCCACGAAACAGACCCACAACTACAACAAGAAATGAAAGACCTGTTACATTGTCAGAGCATATGTCACCAGTGCAGCCTCCAGTTCCAGAAGTCCGTGCAATTCGCCCTCATAGGTTCCCTGCAGCAGCGGCAGCTCCTTACGTTCCTGTCCAGCATTGTAGGACACCTTACCAGGGGATTGCACCACCAGTTACAGTTAGAACAGCAGTCCCAGTTTTCTCTGCACCACCACATTCTATGCAGTCCCCTCAAGTGATGCAGCCCCGACCTGAGCGAATTGCCCCACCTGTCTGTATTAGGCAGGCTGTGCCAGTTTTTGCTCGTCCACCTGTTCATAAGGGAGAGCTTCCAACTGCCATAGCTCCTGCTCTGCCAAACAAATCACCAGCTGAGTTTAAGGAAACTGGTACCAACTCTGAAAATAGCCTGTGTGAATCAGAAGCAGTAAAGGCATTGGAACAACTCAAAATTTAATGATGATTGGGAAGTATTTGAATCCGTAAAAAGGACTATGATGGTATTGTGTTGATTTTCAGTTTGTTTTGTACGCTTTCTTAGTCTTATCATGAGTGCCTTTTTTTCTTTTGTTGTTGGTCACCATTTCCTTACTGTTTTCTTAAAGATTACCATTACTGCATATAAAATTGATCTATAGCAGACGTATATTTTTGCAATTCAACAGTGGTTTTGACTCCCAGTATTTGAGGATGATAGTTTCTTTCTTTCATTTTTCTGGGTCTATCGTCTTCGCCGGGTGATGCTGGACTTTCAGCTTTGTTCCACATCTTAATGATAATGCCCAATTTTTCAGGTAAGCGTTTCTTTTTAGTCGTGTTTTTGGGAGTAGATCAGCATTCTCTTTCAAAAGTTAAGGTGATTATTATTAATGCCATTTGTGTGTAAAGGTCACTCTGGCTTGCAAAGCTTCTGGGAAATAATGGGTGGAATCCATTTTAATTTTTTCAATTCGTTATTTGGGCTGATGAACTAGTGAGGATTCCTGCGGTTATGAGTATGGATCCGCGCAAGATGATAGCTTTCCCAGATTTTTTAACGAGGGTTGGCTTGTTGATTTGCCTGTTGATAATGGAAAACTAGCGAAGGTGTTATTTATTTTCTTTTCTTCTGTACACCTTTGCGAGAATCAGTACCTCCTATCATTGACACTCTAGATAAATGGGGGGGTTTTTGGTATACCATACACGAATGTCAAACACTGATGTTTGGTTTGCTTAATGAGTTCTAGTTTACACCTCGATAGCAGAGAATCCGTATTGTATGCATAGTGAATCGCAAAAGCATTAGCCAGATCTGGCCATATGTGAATGGTATTTGCATTAGTGTTCATCAACTAAGTCAGCCTCTTGTTTTTAATTTTCACTCCCTGATACGACAGTGGAAAACAATCCGTTGCCACCGACAAATCAAAAGAACACAAAACATCTCATTTTGACAAGCGGTAGAGAGGTCCTTTGCTTGACTGAGCTCGAAAGAAGTGGGCAGCCAGCGGCATGAATCACTCATTACGAGTTAATCTTTTGGTGAAGGGCTTTGTTAGAAAAGATAGTGAATTCTTTGCAATTCTAGACATAAGCATATGGGTTATTTCCGACACTTCAACCATTTTGTGAACTAAAACAGACAGTTTTGAGTGAAAGGGAATAAAACGCTCATAAATTTCCGGTAAAAGCTCGAGTCTCCCAATACTTTGCGCTACCAGCTAGTACTCAACAAGATTTTTACTGATAAAAGAACATTATTTTTAGAGGGCAAATTATAATGACACCCTTATGGTTTATGATAATTAAGAGAGTTACTCTCTTAATTTGCCAATACGACATTGCACTGTCTTATGTAGAGATGAAGGCTGACTGGAGTTTCAGACCCGACCGATAAGATAGGGCGGTGTTATTTTGATATAATTTATTGATCTAATTAATCATTATTATCGGATTGACGGGAGACTTAATATAAATTGGAACTTGTTATTAGTTCAATAATTTATGATGGATTAAATTAATATAATAAATCCAAATAAATTTTATTAGATAAGATAACACAAGGAACTCCAATGGTAAAGCATAACAGTGGATTTTATAAGGTGGATGCCCTAATCATATTTGTGGCAAACTACTTTTTACAAGTAAAAAGGTGACCAATCTACATCCTCATTACAGAGGTAATGTGATGCTGTCTAACTGTCTATGTACCAACCAGATAATGCCAAACGATTCAGCCCATGCAATGGTTCCTTATGACTAGGGGGTTATATTATTTTTATTGTCTTATTTCAGATTCGTGTTATTTTCAATTAGTATTATTGGTGGTCAAGTTGTGTTCAGGTTATGTTCAACTTATTCATATGAATTTTGTGAATTATAAATCGTAAGATTGATACCCCTTTGGTAAAGATCTATCCTTTAACCTCTTGACTAGCAAAATCCTTAGACAATCAAGAGTGATCGACAAAGATAGACCTAGGTAATTGTTTATGTTTAATACCAATCCGCCCTATTTATTATTCGTGTTAATTTAACTATTATTTTCAGAGTTTTCAAAGTTATACAACCAGATCGTTCTAGTTTATTCGTAGCACATGATCATCATCTATGGTCATACCTACTCTTCTCGGTAGGTTTATGGGGGCACCAGGTTAGCTCGCAAAAGGAAGTTGAATCATAAAAATCGAGACTACGATGAAACATGAATACTTTTGAAAAGAATATTGATGTGTCGTATTGAAATTTATCACCACTAATGAACCCCAAATTCAAAGCAGCTTGTGAAGAATTTCCTCCTTTCTATAAATAGAAGAACCATAACCTGATGGGGAGAATAATGCAAATGTATATGGTTGGTGCTCTTTATTTATGGCCATTGAAACCTTTAAGTCCTCTTACGTCCCATGCTCTGGTCCATATACCACGGGTTCTTTCACTGATCAAGAGGCACAAGAGTGGTGGCCAATTTTGATTTTGTCTTAGGGTACTAAAACGTTAAGATTTCTCAAAACCAACGTGTAGTTGGGTCAACAATTAGAGAGAAAAGAAAATAATTAAGAAAAAAAGGTATATAGATTTACATGATTCGACAAAATTATTGTCTATATTCATACGAACAATTGTTCTTTGCTTTATCCAATGCACTATCTATGGGTACTAGTTAAGAAGCTTAAGCCTAGCACATTACATACAGTCAAATTCACATATCGTACCTCATACTCCCGACTTATTTTGGATATAATGAATGTGAATTGCTCATCATGTATAACATGTATTGATAATGCATAAATTGGTCTCGCACAAGATCAACAGTTGAGTGTGTGATAAGGTATAATTAATATACAATAATTAAAGCAATCAATGACAAAATAGTAAATATCGAATCAACACACAGATATATAGTGGTTCGGTTCAGATGAAATACTTTACTCTCGAAAAACGACAACGACAGCTAGGGGTCTTTATTCATGAATAAAGTAATAGAGAGAAAGCTCCGAGAGAAGTACAGTAGTTAGGAGAGAAAAGTTATGTGTGTAGAGAGGTGTGGTGAGATCTCCAAAGGTGTCCTCTCATTTAGAGAAGACTTATAATTTATAGGTATGGAGCCTTGGTTAAGGCGGTGACTTAAGGGTAAAGATACTAGTCTTTCGGAAATGATAGCTACAAAAGGTAAGTACAATTAAAGATTGTTACGATCTTCGAGGATATGAATCCTGATGATTCCTCCCCACGTACTCTAATTTTTCTTGGACTCCACAAATCTTGGGTTGGGTCGAATTCACGAATTGGGCTTGACCTGCCTTTTAGTTAACTTGTGCTTACTTGGTTTATTGGGCTTGACCTTGTTGAATTTGGGCTCGTCATGTATTATAACAATAAATTGAAGCGGTATGTTTGAATCTTTATTCTAGTCTAGAACGTGCTTTAATTTTGATTCCTCTAATACTTAATGACGCACTTTGCATTGATGAAAACCCTACTTAAATATGATTAATCTAAAATAGATTGATGATAAAAATATTTGAGAAGTTTCATCCGGGGACTGATTTAAGTCCTATTTAGAATGTGTGATCGATGTTAAGGTATAGTTTGGTACCAACTTGTTTATGGACTCTAGTAACAATAACACGGATGATTCAGAATCAATTAATCTTTGCCGTGCGATGTGCTGGGAAGGTACGACCCAAATTTAATGCTAAATGGAGTGTTCTATATTGCCAAGTGTATGTTCGTCCTATGATATTTGCTTCAATGGAACGTGAGTTCTTTAATGGTTGGAGAACTTCCCTCAGAAAAGATAAGGTTTTTCGGTTCTCAACTTTCTCTTTGTGGGTGTGGGTGTGGGTGAGGGTATTGGGTGGGGGGACCCTTCTCCATTACCTAAAACCTTTTTTTTTTTTTTTTAATATCCTAATTGTCCCAGTAGATAATATACAACCTGTGTTTTTTTTAAAATCTCAATTGTCTCAGTAAATCATCGTAATATTTCCGCTTCCATACTGGATTAATGTTAGACTTTTTGTAAAATCGCCTCTCTATACAAAAAGGTAAATTTATGGATGGTGACTCTAAGAAACTACGCTTTGTGAGATAATCGATCCTTTACTTACCCCTTAATCAAAATACTGTAATAAGATGTTAAAATGAGACAAGAGCCAAAGGTAAGGTGCGTGTGGGTGAATTCTTATTTTCAACCCTAGGACCATGGCTAATAATTATCTGATTTTCATGCTAAATCCATGGGTTTACTTCAAGTGGTTGTATCATTGATTTGAACAACAAGCACCAGTGCATGTGCATAGGACCATTGGTTTAGGTGAAACCTGCCACCCAAAAAAAAACCAATGTTATTTGAAACATATTTATTAACCTAATTAATTATTTTTCATTTGATTGATAGTGAATCTCGGTATTAAATAAGACTCATTACTAACAATAAAAAATACGATATATTATAAACTCAATGATCGTAATGAATTAAATTAATAAATTAAATTCAAAATAATAATAAAAAAATATCACTTGTTTTTGCTTTAAACAACACCCCTAACCACCGAGACACTGAAATGGCATCTTTATCTGTATCTGGGTTAAAGCTTGATGGTGAAAATAACAGAGCATGCAATGTTGGATGACAGTGAAATGATGTAAAAAAAAGGAGGTCCTAAAATAAGTGTACTAACCAAGCAAAGGTTGAGAGAGAGAGAGGCATGGGCTGAGGTGGTAGGGTATAGGCTCCACTTCAACGACACCAACCCATGAAAAGAAAGTACACGTCAGCATTCTACTGATTTACGCAACATATTTTTTGGGGCGGCCCAGACAAGGGTGGGCCCACGGATGGTGGGGACTTGATTGGATCAAGGAATGGGCCCAAATGAGTTTTTTAGTTTTGTTTTTTTGGAGAAATTGGGTAAATGGGTCCAAATGAGTTAAGGAAGCAGTGGCATATATTCCTTTCCTATGACAAAAGCAATGGTTCAAGGCAAAAAGAGAGAGAGAGAGAGAGAGAGAGAGAGAGAGATCAATTAAAAAGCAAAGCAAAGCAAAGAGAACAAAAGGCAAATCAATGGGGGAGATAGGAGACAAAGTGAGAGAATGTAAATCCCATCACCTAAAGTTTAAAAAGATATAAAATGTTAAAAACATTCCCCTTTGACTTTGTTTATTACTACTTATCATATACCATTGATTGAACCTTTCTTATATTAAAGTAAAGGAGAGTATGGTTCTAAAGGTTTTATTCCTTCAAATCAGACCGAAAGTTATGACTTAATCGATAAGGTTATGATAAAATCAAGTCATTTGA